CGGTCTGATCACCGTGTCCCGATAGAAGCTGCTGCGGTATCGCGCGTCACATTGGCGAACAGACCGCCGGGATGCTGCTGTGTCGCGGCGCCTGACAGAGTCCAGTGCGGCGCCAGTGAACTGATTGCCCGCCGCCGCGCCCCTGAATGCCGGCGGTACCGATGTCGAACGTCAGGAACTTGGTGTTGGTATAGCCTGCCCCCGCGAACAGGCTCAGTTGCGGCGCTGGCCGGGCCGTGATCGACAGTTCACCGCCATAGACGCGCGAGTGGCCCGCATTGATCGTCTGGGAACGGGAAACCGCTCCCCGGCGTCAGTCGAACGGTCACCTGCTGATTGCGCCAGTCGGTGGTAGCCATTGGCATTGATCAGCCGCCGGTCGAGAAATTTCGGATCGCAGCGCAAGCTCATAGGTCCGTATATTCGGGGTCGTAGGTGTAATAGCTGCCCCTGTTGCTGATTGATCCCGGCGCCACCTGCCCGGTAGCTGCGCTGCGCGGTCGCGCTGGAGCGAGACATTGTCGGCGGCGTCGAAGGTGATGCCAGCCTGGGCAACCAGCGTCATAGGATACCCGCCGGACCGGGCCTGAGGTGTTCGCGGCGGTTAAAAGCGTCGTCAACCGGCCATTGAGCAACGTCACGATCGGGCAAGCGCCCCTGACGTCGCGCCGGGTTGGGCAGCGGCACGTGAGCGAGATCACTTTGTGTCGCCCCGATCCTGATCTTCCCGGTCGTACCGCAGGCCGGCGACCACGCGCAGCCGCGATGTGATGGGGAAGGTCAGATCGGCATAGCCGGATAATTGTTGGTCAGGCGCGGCTGTCAGCGTGTTGCGGATCGAGACCATTGCCATAGAGGTTGAGCGTCGCCGCCACCGCAACTGCCGGCACCGGCCGCGACCAGGCCCTGAGGTACGCCAGCCCGGTCAGCTGCAACTGCTGGTCGGCGATGAAGCGGATAGCCCCGAACATCCTCGCGCAGATAATAGCTGCCGATGACGCCCCGCACCCAGCTGGTATCGAGGTTGAGGCGCAGTTCCTGTTGGAAGGTGCGGATGGGATTGTCGATCCGGCTGATGCCCCCGGCGTCGGGCTGCGATCGGTGTCGAACAGCATGACATTGGTGATCGCGCCATAGTTGGTCACCGAGTTGATCGAGATCCCACGTGCCGTGTCATAGCCCGCCCGATCGTCGCGATATCGCTGCGCGTGGTGTTCACATCGGCGACGTCCTCGATCGCGACGCGTCGCGCAACGCATAGGGCGGATCGAACCGGTATAATAATATCCGCGCTGATGCCGGTCGTGGAGATAGGGTGACGATCCGAGCCCGGTATCGCGTCGGGCGTCAGGAGCAACTTGCCCCGGATCGTTTCCGATGCCCGTCGGTCGGCCTTCTCGTGCTGGGTTATATTGTAGTTGCTGCTATCGGAGGCGGCGACTCGCCCGAGACGCGGAAGGCGAGCTGGCTGTCGATGATCGGTCCGCCGACCGCACCGGGGCGGCGGCGCTCGCCATTGGGGCCGGTCAGCAAGGCGCGGGTTTCGCCCGTCCAGCCATAGCTGGGGTCGGTGGTACGGATGATGACCGCACCGGCCAGTGCGTTGCGACCCGGACCGTCGATTGCGGTCCGCGAAAATCTCGATCTGGGGCGATGTCGTACAGATCCAGCGGGCCGACCGACAAAGCTGGCTGGGGGATGACGCGCCATCCAGATAGACGGTGGCGAGTAGACCGTCGCCACCGCCCGATACGTTGAACGCGTCGATGCCCCGGATCGAGAAGCGGGTGTCGGGCCGTTGGCTACCACATCTGGCGTCCGATTGAGCACGTCATAGACGCCCAGCAGCGTCTGGTCGGTGATGGTGCGGTTGGTCGTCACCGCGACGCTGGCCGGCGTTTCCTGCAGACTGGGTGGTTATCTTCTCGCGCGGTCACGATGATCTCGCTATTGGCTCGGTTTTGTGGCCGAACTGCTGGCGGTCGGATCGGTGACGACCCGTTGCGTGGTGACCTGTGCCCGGCTTGCGCGGCCAGCGCGAACGACGACGATGTAATGCTGCCACCGCGAGACGGTTGAAAATCTCATCACTTTCCCCTGTTGAGCGGGGAATAGAAGCGACGAAAGTGCGAGTCAATCGCAGCAGCAATGGCTGGTATAGGGCGGCCTCGATCGGTGTTCCGTCCGGGTCGGGACCGCTTATGAGGGCGCGCCTGATCGCGGCTTCCTGAAGATTGACCGGATGTTCGTTCCCATTTTTCGGCCGCGACGAGATCGATCGGCCGGACGATGCCGCGTGAGCGAGGGGATGACGGATACGCGAAAGGCACGCTGGATAAGGCCGTCGACGGCCCAGCGCACGCAATAGTCCGCCGCCACCCCGACGACCGTCACATCCCCGGACGCCGGCCGCCTTTGAGTTGAGCGAAGAAGGCCTCGCGTTCTGATCGGTTCGCTCTGATCACCCGGGTCAGGGTGATGTCCGGCTCTCCCACATGTCGAAAACACCTTTTCGAGCGTATAGGTCGGAATGGCCGGATCGACCGCGGAAGGGGCGACCATCAGCGACCATCCCGGTGCGTCCTTCACACAATGTAACGGAAACTGCTCGGCCTCCTCCGACCGCGCATAGACCTCGGGCAGATGAGTATCGAGCGAACAACACGCCGGTAACGTCGGCCGGGGCGCAAGCTGGCCAGCCATGCATTCATCGGCGCGATCAACGCCTCGGCACCCGGCACGGGCAGCGCGCCATCCGCCGCCACGAAATCCCGCTGCATATCCACAACGATCACAAAGCGCTTCATGACCCGTCTCCCGCCATTTGACATATATCTGATGCGCGCATAAGTAAAATGCAAGGTGGATATAAGGTGATCCGATGGATGAAGGCGCCTTTCTCGAACGCTATGACCTTAACGCCTTTGAGCGGCCTTCGGTCGCCGTCGATCTGATTTTTACGAGCGTCGTTGACGGCGTGCCGGCGATCCTGCTCGCCGCACGCCGCCAACATCCTTTCGCTGGTTTCTGGGCCTTGCCGGGCGGCTTTGTCGGCATGGACGAGAGCTTGGACGACGCGGCGCATCGTATCCTGCGCGACAAGGTGCATGGCGACCGAGGCCCATGTCGAGCAATTTACACCTTCGGCGCGGTCGACGCGACCCTCGGATGCGGGTGATCAGTGTCGCTTACTGCGCGCCCTGTTGGCCGATCGCTTCGTGGCGGCGCTGAAGGCCGCTGAATTGCGCCTTGTACGGCTGGCCATGCCGGGATCAAAGCAGAGGGTCGAGGCGCGGATCGACGACGGCGAGCTGGTTCACTTCGCCTTCGATCACGGCATGATGATCGGCGTCGCCTCGAGCGCTTGTGGGGAAGCTCTTCGACTATTCGGGGATCGCTTTGTTTTGTTACCCGAGCGTTTCACGCTGCGAATGCTTCAGGAGGTTTACGAAGGATCCGGCCGATGCGTGAACAAACCGGCCTTTCGTCGGCGTATGCTCGATCGCGGCTGGCTCGTCGCGACTGGTGAGCGGGAGGCGGGGCCTCGTTTCGCCCCGCCGAACTCCCTATCGCTTCCGGGGCAGGCGCGATGATGCTCGCCGCGCCTCCTTTTTCCCCGGCGACCCGTTGAAGGACCGACCATGCCCGTTACCGACATCGCCACGCGCGTCTATAATCATGGCTGGCGGCTCGATCCGGTCGTGCGCAGCCTGCTCGACACCGATTTCTACAAGCTGCTGATGCTCCAGATGATCCGGCATCGGCACCCGGACGTGCAGGCGACCCTTTCGCTGATCAACCGCAGCACGTCGGTACGCCCTGCCGAGGTGATTGACGAGACCGAATTGCGCGAGCAGTTGATCATGCGCGCGAACCATACGCTTCACCACCAAGAAGGAGCTGATCTGGCTGGCGGGCAACAGCTTTACGGCAAGCAGCGCATGTTCGCGCCCGACTTCATCCAGTGGCTCGCCGATTTCCAGTTGCCAGATTACGAACTGCGTACCGTCGACGGGCAGTTCGAGCTGCATTTCGATGGGCCCCGACCCATACGACGATGTGGGAAATCCCGGCGCTGGCCATCGTCAACGAACTCCGCTCGCGTGCCGCCATGAAGGGCGGGGCGGTCTGAGCTCGACATCCTCTATGCGCGCGCGAAGCCAAATTGTGGGAGAAGGTCGAGCGGTTGCGCCATTGCCCGACCTCGTCATCTCCGACTTCGGCACGAGGCGGCGTGAAGCTTCCTGTGGCAGCGCTGGTGCGTCGAGGCGTTGAAGGAAGGGCTGGCGATCGTCATCGGCAGCCCGAACGTACTGCTGGCGATGGACAACGACCGAGGCGATCGGCACCAACGCGCATGAACTGCCCATGGTGCTCGCTGCGCTGCCGAGAGGATGACGCCGGGGTCGCACAGGCGCCCTATCGCGTCCTCGAGGAGGCAGGCGCATTATGACGGCAAATGCTAATCGCCTTTGTCCGATGCCTTTGGCACCACCAGCTTCCTTGCGCAACGCGCCAGACTGGCTGGCTGACTGGACGGGGTTTCGCCTGACCTCGATGCCGCTGATCGAGGGGGGCGAGCAGATCATGGCGTGGTGGCAGGCGCATGGCCGCGATCCGCGCGGCAAATTGCTGATCTTCTCGGATGGCATGGATGGGAGAGTATCGAGGCGACCTATCGCCATTTCCACAGCCGGCGCGGATGAGCTTCGGTTGGGGCACCAATTTGACCAACGACTTTCGCGGTTGCGACCCCGCCGGCGGATTACGGTCTGGAGCCCATCTCGCTCGTCGCCGTTATCAGCGCGAATGGCTGCCCGGCGGTGAAGTTGTCCGACAACCCGGCCCAAGGCGACGTGGAAATCCGGCGGAAATGGAACGCCATTCGCGAATTTTCGGACAGACGCCATGTTCCGCAGGCCGTGGCGGTACACGAAGGGGCAGTTTTGCCTTCTGTGTCCCGGATGCCTTGGCGGTTATTGTCGTCTCAGAAAATACCGTTACGCAAGTAGATAGGGCATTCCCCGAGAAGGTAAGTCATCTGCCGCCGCAGGGCGCCGCAGATTCCAATGTTTGACTTCATCGGCTAGCACCTTGAAATCAGAGCACACAAGCCCGGCCAAATCCGACAAGGATGTTGGTAACGTTATCAGATAAAACGGAACGCGAGGAGAGGATGATGTGACGAGGACGGATCGTGGGCGCTGTGCCTGCATCAGACGATGATGGCCCCGGCCAGGCCCGGCAGGATTGCCGCCTGTATCGTGCCACGCCGAGCTGGGCGCACCGGTGCACGCCGCAGGCCACACCGACGCAGGACGCAGAACGAGCAGTCGATCGTGACGGCTGCCCCCGATGGACAGGCGGCAGAGCGCGAGTACACGCGACATCATCGTCACCGGCTCGCGTATCACCACCGGCGGCTTCTACCGCGCTGACCCCGACCACGGTGATCGGCGAGGAAACAGATCGCCGCCAATGCGCAGCCCAAACGTCTCTACCTGCACCATCGCACACCGTTCTCGTTTCAGGGTCGACCGGCACTGGTCAACACTTTCAGCACCTCGAGCGGGCAGGGGCTCAGCTCCTTCCGCTGCGCGGTGTCGGTGCGATCCGGGCACCTGACCCCGTTTCGACGGTCAGCGCGTCGTCGGCGCCACCGTCACGGGCGTGCCTGATATCAGTCTGTTCCTGCAACTGCTGACCGCGGTCGATGTCGTCACGGCGCCTCGGCCTCTGCGGTCTGATGCGGTCGGCGGCGTCGTCAATTCCATTACCGGGATACCCGGTTCAAGGGCATCAAGGGCAATGTCCAGGTGGCATCACCACCCATGGCGATGATGAACAGGTCTTGGTCCAGCTCGCCGGCGGTACCACAGCCTGCTGAACGACAGCCTGCATCGTCGTCAGCACCGAATATGCGCATGAGGAGGCGTCGGCGGCGGCGATTTTGGTATTGGTCTGGCAGGGGACGCGACAATGTTCCGTCAGCCGACGCTGATCAACCGCAACGTGTTGAACGACGGGTCGCTTAACATTCGTTCCTGCGACTATGCCCAGTCCGCATCATACCAAATACGGCCCTGATCACCGCCGGGCCGCTTCATAGGGCATTGCTCTTCGATCAGTCGGGCAACCCGTTCCAGTTCCAGGCGGATCGAACGGCGTCCCGCGCTCGCGCGACGGCAGGCAACGTCATCGGCTGTCTGCCCGGCTTTTTTCCTGCCAAGGCGGCGATCTGTCGGGCAACGTCGATGCCGGGCGTTCGTTAGCCGAAGATCCAGCGGGTCAACAGCTATGGCGGATCGGCTATGACTTCGCGCCCAACGGCGAGATTTACGGCACGATCAATATCGGCCGTGTGAAGACCAACAACCAGCCGGTCGGCGGCCAGAACCGCCCCAATCCCGACCATCCAATGCGCCAACCTTATGTCCCGGCACTGGTCAAGGCGGCTCGTGCCACGGCGCATCACCCACTCCCCAGTACGGCACCAGCAATGCCGCGCTGGCAACAGCCGTCTATACCGATCGCCGGCCAGTTCCGCTTCGTCGCAGGCGCTAATGGGCGTGAGGCGGTCGCTGTCCGCTGACTATCCCATTGACATTCATTACGAGCACGGCACCAACTATACCGGGATATCGACGTCAGCAACATCACGCTGTCGCGTCGGTTCAACCGCCAGCGATCAACGCGACCACGTTGAACGGCGCGATCGTCTGCGCGCGACCCCACGGCGCGCGCTAATGGGTGCCAGCCACCAATATCTTGGCGGCAATCCATCCGAAAGCGGCGCTTGAAGGCCCCCAAATGACCGGACAGTTCCTCACACTTATGTAAGAGTGAGGCATATGACTGACCGTAATCCCCTGTGAGCTGATGTGCATGCGGAGTTCTCGAGGGGTTCAGCGCCGGTGGCGCTGGACCTCAAGAAGCTCCCGCATGGTCGAAGAAACCTTCCTGCGCGGCAACAGCGTGTCGCTTGTGGCGCGCACGCATGGAGTAGCGCCCAATCAACTGTTTGCTGGCGCCGACAAGCAGCAAGCGGAGCACTGACCGCCACCCGTGCTGGTGGCGAGGTGGTTCCGGCGCGAATATCGCGCGCTTGAGAACCAGCGAACGAACTACAGCGCATGCTTGGCAAGAAAACCATGGAGAACGAGATCCTGCGCGAGGCGATCTCGCGCGTGGCTGGTCCCAAAAACGTTGCCGGCACGCTCGCTGCCGGAGGGCAACCAGGAGCGGCGGCGAATGCGCCGGCGTCTCCCGGCGCATCTCTCTTCAGCCAAGCGCAAGGCTCCTGCACGCCGCCGTGGCTGCCCTGCTGCCTGGAGGGAAGAACTCGTCGGACATATCTGCGCCTTGATCACCGGATTCGCCGACTTATGGCTACCGGCGGATCCATGCGCCTGCGGCGGCAAGCCTCCGAAATAGCGGATCACCTGCGCCCAATGCCAAGCGGGTCTACTGGGTGATGAAGGTCCATGGCCTGTTGCTCCAGCGACATAGCGGCAAGGTTGATGAGCGTCGCATGACGGCCGCGTCGCGGTCGATACCGCAACACCTGTTGGTGCTCCGACGGCTTGAGATCGGCTGCGACAACGGCGAAAAGTGCGCGTCGCCTCTCCCTCGACTGCTGCGATTGCGAGGCAAGGGCTTCGTTGCCACCACCGGAACATCTGCCGAGGATGGGCAAGGATCTCATGACCCGCCACCGTCGAGCACTGCTTCGGCCAATACGTGAACCGGCTGCCTGCCACCATCGAATGGCTTACCGGACAATGGCAGCTGCTATACTGCCAGGAAACGCGCCGCTTCGCACGCGAAATCAACCTCCGCCCCGGACAACGCCCATCGAAAGCCCGCAATCCAACGGCATGGCCGAAGCCTCTGTGCGCACCATGAAGGAGACTACGTCCGCGTCGCCGAAAAGCCTGACGCCAGAGCCGTGATCAACCAACTGCTGCGGGTCCCACCACTACAACACCGTCCACCCGCATCGCGCCCTTGGCTACCCCGCCCGCGCGAATACATCACCCAGTCAACCAGTGAGGAACTGTCAGGAATTAATATAAATGACAGGCTCGGCTATATCATGCCCGACCGCGGACCCTATCAGCGGACGCGCCAGACGCAGGACGATCAGCCTCAACTTCGGGCTCGCCTTCCGCGCCCGGCGGGGCCGGTGTCGGTCGCGTTCGGCGGTGAGTTCCACACGAATTCTACCGCGCGTGCCGACCCCCTATGGCGGGGCTTCGCCAACACCCCGCCAACGCGCCTATCCGGCGGATCCGGTGCTGGCGACGGCAATAAACTGGTATGCGGGCAATTACAAGAATGGCGGCGGCGCCTATAGCGTCGGCGAAGCTTTATCGAGGCCGATCTGCCGATCATCAACTCCGATGCCGGAGGGCGGGCCAATATCAACGGCGCGGTGCGCGTCACCGGATTACAGCAGCACCGGGCACGCACCGCGTGGAAGATCGGCGGACCGGATCTGCCGGTCAGATGGCCTGCGCATTCGCAGGATCAGCGCGACGTTCGCGCGCCTAACCTGTCCGAACTGTTCGCCGCGCCCGTCACGACGACACCGCCGGGCTTTTTTCGACCTGTTCCAACGTTACCGTGCTGGCGCTGCAGAACACCATCGTAACGTCAACCTGACGCCTGAGATCGCCCGTACACCACGCTGGGCATCGCCTTCTCCAATTCACAGGCGATCCCCGGCCCAGCCTGTCGGTCGGTCGATTACAAGCTGGAAGATCACTGACGGATTTCCAGCTCCCGCTGCGCAGGACATTTGTAAACCTGTGCTTCCTCATCGCGCCGGAGACCTGCGGCGTGTTCAACCTGAACAACCTGAACGGCCTACAATTTCATCAACGTACAGTCGTTCAACCCGCATCGATCTTCACCGATGGGTTCGATATCGAGGCAAGCTTATCGCTGGCGCAATCCGTTCGGGCTTGTCGGGTAACCTGACGCTGCGGACGCTTGTCAATATCCGGCGTTTCATCACCGATACCGGCCTGCTGCACGATCCCCAATGACACGGCTGGGTGAATATCGGCAACACGCCCAAATGGAAGTGGCTGGCAACGCAGACCCATGCGACCGACGACTGGTCGCCGCTGCTGCAGGAGCGCTATTCAGCGACGCAAGCTTGGCAATCAATATGTCGTTCAAATGACTGGCTGCCCCGCCTCGACCGTCAATCGCCCGACGATCGACCAGAATTTCATCCCCGGCGCCTTCTATTTCGACGTGGGCGGCACCGCACGTGACTCCTGGCGGTGACCGCCTATTTCAAGGTCGATAACCTATTCAATCGCGATCCGGCGCTTTCTGCCCTATTTCGTCAATCCGGCGCTCTATGACGTGCTGGGCTGGGTGTTCAAGTGCGGGTGTGCGCTTCAATTTGCGGGAGGGGTTCTGGATGAACGCCGCAGATCATGGCGTCGATATTGGTGCTCGATACCTTTGCCGGGGGGCCGTGCTGGCTGCCGATCAGCCGGGGGAGCAATCCCATCATCCGCGACGCGTTCATCAGCCGATCCCGCGCCGCTGGTCGGGGCAAACCGTTGTACCTCTCATGTCGGGCATGACGAGGCGCAGCGACGAAATGTTCAACATGAAGGAATGGCTTGTCTATTCCACCACCGACACAAAAAGCCACTGGACCCCGCACGGGCCAACCGCGAACGTGCGTGATTTCAAATGGGCTAAGAGCGACGCCCGGGCCAGCCAGACGATCTACAAGAACGGCAAATACTGGTTCTACGCCGCCGTCGAGCATGACGACAGCCATCCCGGCAAGGCGATCGCGGTCGCGGTTTCCGATAAGCCGACCGCCCTTCGTCGATGCCAAGGGCTCCGCGCTCATCACCAATGAGATGACGCCCAAGGCACGGCATAGCTGGGAGGATATCGACCCGACCGTGCTGACCGATGACGACGGCACCACCGGATCGCCCGCAATCGGCAATGCTATATCGCTAAGCTGGAAGCCCACTGGCGATCGAGATCGACGGCCCGATTACCGAGATCACGCTCCACATTTCGAGGAGGGCCCTCGGCTGCGGCCAAGCGGGGTTTCATTACCTGACCGGCGCCCCGCCTGATGGACGACGCAGCGGACGAGCATATCTCCTATGCCACCGCCCCGTCGTTGAAGGGACCCTCGACCTATCGCGGGCTGCTGACAGGGCCGGCAAATACAGCTTCACCATTCATCCTGGCATCGCTGGAGTTCAAGGGCAAGTCCCATTTGTTCCGCACAATGCCACGCTGGCGATCGGCGATCAGAGCGGTGCGATCGGGCGGCGGGCGGTGACGGTCGAGCCGCTACGCCATAATCCTGATGGCACGATGGTGCTGGTGGTCCAGACCGCGGCCGGGTGACGGCGTCGGCGCGCTGAGGTCGTGAGCGATCTCCACTCCGGCGACCCGGTGTAGGTCGAGGACGCGAAACGGTTTTAGCGGACAGGCGGAGCGGCGGTGGAGTCGCGTCCGATCAACTGATGCTCCAGCACCGTCACGCGCGGCTGGTCGTGGCGGCCGGCGCACCACCGCGAATGTCCCGGATCAATATATGCAGCGCCGCCGTCGCCAGCGGACCGGCTGATGGATGGTGGTCAGCGGCGGCCAGGGTCGTCGCGGCGGTGCTGTCGTCGAAGCCCGCCACGGTCAGGGTCTCCCGGCACGTCGAGGTGCCGATGATGCGCGACGGAGACGATTGCGGCGGCTTATGTCGTCGTTGCTGGCGAAGATCGCCGTCGGCGGCCGCTCGCCGCCCAGCAATGCCTCACCCGCGATCAGGCCCGAGGCATAGCCATAATCGCCTCGACGACCTGCGTTTCCAGATCGCTTTGCGAAATCGCCTTTATGGAAACCGGCGAGGCGCTCGTTGCTGGCGGACTGGTCGGATTAAGGCGGACGAAGCCGATGCGACGATGGCCCAGTCCGATCAGATGGCGGGTCATGGGGTCACAGGCGGCGCGGGCATTGTCGATGCTGACGCAGATCGCATCGGGGGCGATGCTGCCCACGACCGCGACGGGCAGACCCCGCCCCTCCTCGCGGATGATGTCGCGCACGAAGCCGGACTCGTTGAGCGGCGGCGCTGTGATCAGCCCGGCGATCCGCTGGTGGATCAGCCTTCGATCGCCTCGCGCGCGGGAGGCTGCCCCGTTCGCCCTTGAGCAGGAAGAGTTGCGCCGCGGGTCGAGGCTTCGAACACGCCGACCAGCAGTTCGCCCGGCGAACGCGGCGCTGGGATTGGAGTAGATGACGCCGATGCGGATTTCGCGCGAGGTCACCTGTGCTGCGGGGCCATCAGATTGGGCGTATAGTTCAGCGTGGCGATCACCCGCTGACATGCGCGCGGACTTGTCGCGGACGCCGGCATCGCCGCTGATGACGCGCGACACGGTCATCGGCGAAACGCCCGCCTGTTTGGCCACATCGATGATCGTGACACCGCGGGGGCGCTTGTCTCCCGCCGGTCAATCCAGTTCCGTTCTATCGTCGGGCTTCGCCCGGGGTCGCATCACCTCCTGCCTTGCGGCGCGGGAAACGTCAATGCCGGTCGGGCAGCCATGAGAGGAGACAGGGTGCGTCGGGACGCGATCGAGGGAACTGGGCGGTGAGGCGCTTTCCTATATCCGCTGGACGATCATCGCGCTGTTCGTCGTCGCGATGGTCATCAACTCATCTGACGCGCAGCATCCTCGGCGTCGCCGCGCCGGGCAATCATGGCCGAGCAGCATATCTCGTCCGCGCACATAGCTGGATCACCGGGGCCTTTTCAGTTCGGCATCATGTTCCAGCCGGTGGCGGCTATCTGCTCGACCTGATCGGGTTGAAGATCGGGTTCAGCCTGTTCTGTCGCGGTCTGGTCGCTGATCACGCTGGGCCATGGTTTCGCCCATGGCTGGCTGGGCTTTGCGGGCTTTCGTGGCGCTGGGGCTGGTCGAGGGCCGGCACAGCCTGCCGGCATGAAGGTCGTCGCCGAATGGTTTCTGGCGCGCGAGCGCGGGGTGGCGGGCGGCATCTATCAGATCGGCGCGCGTCGTTCGGCGCGTGTTCGCGCTGCCGTCGTCGCCCGGGCGTTCCATCATAGCTGGCGCGGCGTTCTTCGTCGCGGGGGGATTGGGGCTGCTCTGGGTCGTCGCCCGGTTGCCTTGGTACGCGCGCCTGCGCGGCATCGGCGGCTGTCGGAGGCCGAGCGCACGCTGATCGTCGAGGGGCAGGTGGAAACCAATTTGGCCCAGTATCGCGCGCGGCCGCCGCTGGGCGAGCTGCCCGGCGGCGCAACCTCTGGCGATCGCGGCGGCGCGGTTCCTCGCCGATCCGGTCTGGGGGTATGTTGTCGCTGATGCCGCCTCTATCTCGTCCAGCGCGGCATTCTCGACCTGACCAGATCGCGCGCTGTTCGCCCGGGTTGCCTTTCTGGCGGCTGATCTCGGCTGTCTGTTCGGGCCTGCGGTCGTCGCCTTTCCAGCGGCGCGGCGTCAACCTGATCGATGCCCGGCGCGGCGCCTTCACGCTCGGCGCGGTGCTGATGACGGCATGATGTTCGTCGGCAGCGTGACCAGTCCGGTGGCGGCCATCGCCCTGTTATGCCCGGGTGGCTTCGCGCATCAGACCCTGTCGGCGAGACGGTCATCACCCCTGTGCTCGGACCTGTTCCTGCAGGATCAGGTCGCGATCATGACGGGGCGTGTCGGGCACGGCCGCCAATCTGGGCGTGCTGTTCACCCTGACCCGGGGTCGCTGGTCGATCAGGTCGGCTATCAGCCCTTCTTCATTCTGCTCGGCCTGCTCGATCTGGCTGGCGCCACCTCCCTGGATCCCGTGCGCAAACCCGCATGACTCCTCCGCCTTTCAACCCGGTCAATCCCATCCTGCGCGGGTTCAATCCCGATCCGTCGATCGTGCGCGTCGGCGAAGACTATTATATCGCGACCTCGACCTCGAATGGTATCCCCGCGTCCAGATCCACCCATAGCCGTGACTTGGCGAACGGGACACCGTCGCCCCGCCGCCGTCGCGCGCGCGCCAGCTTGATATGCGGGGCAATCCTGATTCCTGCGGGTATGGGTGCCGGACCTGAGCTTAGGGGACGGGCGCTTCCATCTCATCTATACGGATGAAGCGCCATGGTCGCACCACGGTGGACGGCGCGCGGCGCATGCCGCGCGACTTTCACAATTATTGTGTCGAGCGAGCGGATCGATGGCGACTGGTCCGACCCGGTTCATCTCAACAGCAGCGGTTTCGATCCGGCGCCGTTCCATGACGATGACGGGCGGAGCTGGCTGCTGAACATGCTGTGGGACCATCGTCCTGATCGGCGGCGTGCCGCGGGCATCGTCGTGCAGGAGATCGACCCGCAGCGGCCGGCTGCTGGAGAGCGCCGCACGATCTTCGAAGGCACGGTGCTGGGCGCCACCGAGGGCCCCATCTCTAAAGCGCGACGGTTGGTATCATCTGCTGGTCGCGGAGGGCGGGACGGAGCGTAGCCATGCCGTCGTCATGGCCTGTTCGCGCCATCTGTTGGGTCCCTATGCGCCGCATCCTGATGGCCCGGTTCTGACTGCACGCTACACGCCTGAGGCACCACTGCAACGCACTGGCCATGGCGATCTGGTCGACACGCCGGACGGCGAGACCCGGATGGCTTCCATCTGTGCGGCTGTCCTTTGCCGTCCAGCGATCGCTGTGTGCTGGGTCGTGAGGCCGCGATCCGACGGATGGCCCGGGGACGGATGGCTGGTTTGTTGCGCGGAGGAGCCGCCGGTCCTCGCCGATGGATGCCCCGGTGGTTGCGCGGTTGGCGTTCGATACGGGCGAGCTTTACCGGAGGCGTTCCAATGGGCTCCGCACGCCGCCCCTGATGAGATATTGGTTTGACCGAGCGGCCGGGCCATCTTCGCTTGTTCGGGCGCGAAACGATCGGCAGCCACTTTACCTGTGCGCGCCGTTGCGCGGCGCCAGACCGGCTTTGCCATGATGCCCAGACGCCTGTCGATTTCGGAGCCCCAGCATTTCCAGCAGGCGGCGGCCTTATCTGCTATTACAACAGCACCAAAATATCTCTTCCTCCACGGACTGCCGCTGATGATGGGACCCGCCAGATCTGGGGTGTCCTGTCGGTCCTGTCGATCGGCGAGGGGCAGAGTTTGTTGAGGCGGCGATCGCCGCGCCGGCCGGACCGATCGCGATGCGCGTTCAGGTCGATCACGAAGCGTTGCGCTTCGCCTTCGCGGGGAAGGGAGGGCGACTGGACCCGCTGCCTGAGCTATTCGACGCCAGCCTGTTGTCGGACGAGGCGACATTGCCGGGGCCGCCTAACCGGCACCTTTGTCGGCATGGCTCGCCGTGGACATGGTTGGAACTCGGCTGGCTGGCGGATTTCCGCCATTTCCACTATGTCGAGGCATCTGGGCGCGCCGGACGGGGGAACCGCGGAACCGGCCTTAGCTCATCGCGAAGGCGTGGCTCGATTTCCGGAAGGGGATTGGCAGCCAGAGACCAGCTCGCCAATCCCTGCGCCAATCAGCCGAAGAACAGGCTGCCGTGACGGTAGGCTGTCCTGTGTCGCATGTCTGATCGCAGGTCGGTCGCCCCCAGATGCAGCAACAGGCCATCGGCCGTCTGTTCGCCAATGGCTGCGCAATTCCGGCGGCGGTGTGGAAGCCGCTATTAGTGATCTGGATCTGGTCGCGTCTGGACATCGCCTCAGGCGGAAAAACTCGATCGTGACATGACGGGCAGGCTGGCATCGACGACGAACAGATCATCGCCCAGCCCGCCGTTGAGTAGGTCGCGCCCGCCACCGCCGGTCAGCCAGTTGCCTTCCCCACCATAAAGCGAGTCGTTGCCGCCGCGCCCGTCGAGCTGATCGTCGCTGCTGCCGCTATAGAGAAGATCGCCGCTGTTGGTACCGGTCAGCGTGTCGTTGCCCGGGCCAGCCGAAGACCCGCGAACCTGTCACACATCCGCGCCGGTTGCAAATTTCGCCGCGCGGCGGTATAGGCGATGTCCTCGTCGAAACGTTCGAACATGCCGCTGAACGTCTGGTCTTCCAGCCGATCGGCCTCGATCAGGTAATGGCGTCCACCTACAGCCCGGTGTCGAGGGAACGTCACCTTTTCGACCCCGAGACGATGTTCAGGCCGAAGGATTTGGAGAAGAAGGCGGTGGTTAACCGCCAGCGCGACACGCCCAGTCGCGCATCGATCCGGACAGTTCGAGCGTGTCGGTGCCCAGCCCCTCGATGTGGCTCGGCCCGTACCTGGCGTATGACGTCGTCGTCGCCCGCGCCGTCGATATATAGTCGTTGCCGACATTGCTGGCGCAGCTGATCGCCAAATTGCGATCCGATCAGGAAGGCGGAGTCGCCGACATGGGCTGGTCGGTCGGGCGTGCCAGATCCTCGACTCAGTGATGTCGCGCGTGTGGCGGTGAGATAGAGACGATGACCTGTGCTGTCGCGCGAGGTAAGATCACCGTAGAATGCCGACTGGGTGATCTGCGTGATCGCGTCCGAGGTGATAATTTGCGGCGACATGCGCCGCCCAGCTGCCCGGAATATTGTACAGCGCAAGGGGCCATAGGGGCCATGCCGGGTTGGCAGGTCGTCGCGGAACAGGATGAGATCCGTCGAGGATTGCAGGCAATCCTGCCTGGATCAGGCCGGGGGGGCATCCACCGCCCTCGCCCAGGAATCGAAATCGCCCGCCGCCCGGTGAACGACATCATTCTCGAACCTGATGTTCAGGACGCGGTCTCCGCCTTTAGGTATAGGGGACGGCATGCGCGATATAGCTGCTGTCGGCAAAGAAGCCCCCGGCCAGCGTGTTGCATACGGCTTGGCCATGATATTGGTATAGGCGGCGCCCAGCGAATAGCCGGTGACGATCACGTCGTTTTGGCGGTCAGGCCGTTGCGCAACGCATAGTCGCGGGACTGCGAGCAATTGCTCCATATAGGGCGCGATCTCGCTGTTGAGTTGCGTATAGTCGAGCAGATCGACCGGCGAATTGGTGCTGGCGAAGGTCACCGACAGGCGAGTGACATGACCGCTGGTGCCGCGCCCAGACTTCCGTGGCCAGGTTCTGAGAAGTCTCGCCCGGTCAGCGGACCTCGATGATGGAACAGCTTATCGCTGTCGACTGAGTCCGGCCCCATCCCCGAGCGCCGCCGGGCCGACGTCGGACCGTTCGGCGTGGCAAATGCCACATGGATCGGATTGGCGGTGGCCCTCGGAAGGATGTTGCCGAACGTGTTGGCTAACTGCGCGACCGGCGTTTCAAGATCTTGATCGAGCTGGGCTGAAGGTCGCGAGCTGCAATGTTGTGTTGGCCAATTCCATGAGTTCCGCACGGAATATCGACGATAATCGAACATACCCATGACGTTTTCTCCCTAAGAACCTGTCTATTTGGAAGAAACCTATCGCGGTTGATTGGTTTTTGGTAAATGAGCGTGATGGTTTGTCCAGGGATGGGGTGCATGCCGTCCTCGGTCAACTCAGGATCGGCATGGAGAAGTGAGCGCTATTCATGAGTAATAATGCAGCGCTGAATTGAAGGACTTGTATGTTTACTGGACAGGGGCGTGCAATCTGCCTCCGACATCGAGGGGCAATATTGATTGATCCTGAGCCAGCGGCCGATGCAGTATCGCGCCCGGGACCCCCGACCAATGCCGAGGTCCGTTTACAAAGAGTAGACCCACTTCAAACGTAAAGGGGCGCACGCAAGCTAAAAACTCGCGTGCGCCCCTTCTCAACCGCCAGGGCAGCCAAGCCGGATCGGGTTTTACTGCGCGGTGGCTTCGCGACTCACGGCGCTGCGAGCCATCGCGAGACAAGGACGTTACCTTCGCGCCCGAGAAGTTCGCCGCAGCAGCGTCGCCACGCGATTGCCGACCTGCACCAGCATGTCGCGCACGCGGCCATCGGCCTTGCCTTCAACGCACGCAAAAGGCCGACCGCGCGCGCCCTTGGCATCGACGACATTCATGCCGGGGCGCACATCGACCCGCTCCCTGTGCCGCAGCGCTACCGGCGGGGCGAGCATGCCGTTGCCGAGGGTACCGCTGCCATTCGCGGAGCCTGCGCCCGACCCAGCGATATTACCGGCGGTCAACTGACGGCATTGCATTGCCGCCGATCGCCTCGCGGCCACGTCCTGGCGATATCACGGGCGACGCCGCGTGCCGTCGAGCAGACCGCGTCGGTGCCGATCAACTGCGCGTCGGCTGCCCGAAAACACCGCCCGATCCACGTGTTTCGGCGCCACCGCCGCCGATCGGCGAGCGTCAACATCAACGTGCCACCCTCACCGAGGCGCTGCCCCGGCGCGAACGCGACCGCTGCAGCGTCGACCTGACGTTCCGGTGCGCAGTTCGCTGGCACCTGAGCGGCTGAGCGTGCCATTGGCCCCAGCGCCTGCCGAACCCAGCGTTCCGCAAGGCTGCCCCCGCGTTCCGCCTGGCCACCGCTGCCACCGAGCAACCGTGCTGAGGCTGGGGTGGCGGCAATCGCAAGCGCGAGGGCGGCAGTCGTGAACAAATGCGTGTCATCACGGGTCTCTTATTGTCTGATGGGAGAACGGATTGCCGCGCACTTAATCCTGATCTGTGCGATTTTTTCTTATCGGCGCGCGACGCAGGTGGCGCAGACCAGACCTCGGCCATAGTTGGGCACTTTCTCGCTTCGCGATCACGCCTGGCACGCCTGACAGCGGCAATCCGTGCGGCGACCAGCGGCGCGGTGGCGAAGGAAGATGCCCGTACGGCTTCATCCGTCCCCCTGCATCGGGCGCGGCAAACCGGCGGCAGGCCCGGCATAGTCGAGATGGCTGGCGCGACCGGCCTCGATCAGCACCTGATCGCGTGCATCCCACCGGTCACCGCGACGACGCCGGGATGGGAGGAGGGGTAGGCGGGCAGGGCGGTCGGGCCGTCATTGCCGACCGCGGCGACGATCGTCATCCCCTGCCGCTGCGCCGCCCGCAACGACCCGTGCGAGCAGCGGGTTGGGCGGACTGACCGAGCTGACGGAGACCGTGCCGACACGCTCTCGCCAGCCAGCCGATCGCACGCGCGATGGCGACCGCACCCCGCCGCCAGCGCAGGATCGTTGCCATAGACGTCGGCGGCCAGTACGCGTGCACGGGCACCGCGCCCGACCAGCCACTCGACCGCGCGCCATGATCGCTGGCGTGGCGCGCCGTTCGCAGATCCCATTTTGACGCACGCAGGATCGGCGACGCCGCCATCGATGATGCCCACGGTCGTGCCGGCGGGGCGGGGGACTCACCGGCACGGCGGCGATGTTCCCCCGCTGCCACGGAACCGCTCTCGGAGTGGATCACATCGGCGGCGACGTTCTGCCCCGGCGTTGCCCGGCGAGAAAGCGCGGTCGAGCCGCACTCATCGGGTACCGCGAGCCGCGCATAGCCGACGCCAAGTCCGTCGATTTCCGCCCTCTCGATCGTCCAGAATCCTTCCTGCGCTCGAGCGCCGTGATTTTCCGCATCGGTAGGATCGGTCAGCACCACCTCGCCAGCGCGGGCGGCATTGCCGCGATCGTCACGTACGACCAAGCCACCGCTGTCGCGTACCAGCCGCATGATCCGGATCGAGCCGTGCCGCGTCCAGCAGCCGCACTGGTGCTTCGAGCAGCCGCGGCACGCCATCGACGGCGCGGTCGACCGCGCCCTGACCTGATCGGGCAGTGCGGCGACGGGCGCGGCATGGCAGCAAATTGCCCGCTCGCGGGAGGCGAGCAGCAGCAGGGCGAGCACGAGCGGGAGGCGGGGCATCACGGTCCTTCTTGACATAAATTAGCGCGCTGTCACGGATGAAACGTACGCTGGCATCCGTTTCATCCATAGGCGAGAAGGAAGCGACGCTGAGTTTCCGAGAGCGATCTGACCCTCGTTGCTGCCCGTCTGAGGCGGTTCGCCCGATGCCTTTGACGCGCACGACGCGGCGGACGCTGATGACCTGACGCAGATCGCGGTCGAGCGCGCGCTTGTGGCACGCGTGCTTCCGTCGCGGGAACGCGGATGGATAGTTGGATGTACCGGATCATGCGCAATGCCGGATAGATACCACGCGCAGCCGAGCGCGCGCCGCGCAGACCTTCGTCGCGGAAGAGGCGGGGGGCCATGGTCGGCGATGACGGCGCGTGCGCGCTCGAAGCCCGCGCCGAGCTCGGCCGGGTCGGTCGGGCGATGGCGATGCCGCCGGATGAACAGCGCGAGGCCGTGGCGCTCCGTGCTGGTCGAGGGGGCTTTATAAGGAGGCGGCGCCGTGCTCGACATCCTGATCGGCACGCTCACCTCGCGGCTGGTGCGGGGCCGCACCGCGCTGATCGAGAAACTGGGGAAGGCGGCATGAGCATCGATCCCGAAACGCTGATGGCCTATGCCGATGGCGAATGCGATCCCTGACCGCGCGCCGCGTCGAGGATGCCATCGCGGCCGATCCGGCGCTGGCTGCCGAAGTGGAGGCGCATCGCGCGCTACGGGCGCAACCAGGCGGGGCGTTCGCGCCGGTGGCCGACGAGCTGATACCGCGCGGATCAGCGCCCCTGCTGGCGTCGAACGTCGTCGTTTTCCGCATCGCCCCGCCGCGCCGTTTCCCCCACCGTCTGGGCAGGCGCGGTAGCCGCAACCCGGTCGTCCGGACTGGTGCTTGGTCGGGGGCTCATGCCGAGCGGCCGGCCGCCGTCGGGTCGGCGGGCTGGTTGCGGGAGGCGCGCTTGCCTGAGCGCTCGATACCCAGTTGGGCAGCGACGGGGCGCGCTGTGGTGTGCGGATGCTGGCGAGCTTCCGCGCGCAGGACGGCGCACTGTGCCGGGTGTTCACCGCCACCACGACAAGCGGCATCGCGCGTCGCGATGGCACCCCGGCGCTGCGCCGTATGATCTCAGGTGTCACGGAGACTGCACGTACCGTCAGCATCGTCGCTGACCGCTTCCCTGATGGCTGACGCCCGGGATCTCGCGGCGGGCGATCCGCCTGACGCTGCGGGCGGAGCGGAAAGCGGTGGCGCAGGGGTGGCGATAATTCAGTCAGGGCTGGATAGGGCGGGTTGGTCGGAGGATCGCGGTTCAGGCCGGCGCCCCTTTCGCACATCCGTGTCCGCTTCACGATCGTGACGACGGACAGCATCACCGCACTGACCAGCACGCCGACGACCGTCGCCAACGCCGCGCCGGACTGGAGACCGAAGAGCGAAATCGCGGCCGCAACGGCGACTCGAAAAGAAGTTGGACGCACCGATCAGCGCCGCCGGGGCCGCCACGCACCATGCGACGCCGAAGCTTCCGGACAGCCAATAGGCGAGCCGGCGTTGAGATAGAACTGATGAGGTGATCAGCACCCGCGAGCAGCGCGATCACGAGCGGCTTCGCGACGATCCGCGCCACGAAACCGAACACAGCACCAGCGTCGCCAGCAACGCCATCAGTGAGATTGGGCCAAAGGCGGCTCAGCAGTCGTTCGAGCGCAGCGGGCCGCCTGTTGCCAGCCAGTACGGCGCGGCGGACGATTTGCGCCGCGATCACCGGGCACGACGATAGAGCAGCACCGAGATCAGCAACGTCCCACGGCACCGTCACCGACGCGACGCCGAGCAGCAGGCCGACCAGCGGCGCGAACAGGAACACCATGATGACGTCGTTCAACGCGACTTGGCTCAGCGTATAGGTTGGCTCTCCGTCGGCCAGATTCGACCAAACGAAGACCATGGCCGTGCAGGGCGCGGCGGCCAGCAGGATGAGGCCCGCGATATAGGACGGTCCTTCGCCGGCGGGCAGCAGCGGTGCGAATAGCCAACCGATGAACAGCGCCCCAGCGCCGCCATCGAGAAGGGCTTGACCGCCCAGTTGACGAACAGCGTGACGCCGACGCCCTTCCAATACTGCCGCACTGATCCCAACGCGCCGAAGTCGATCTTCAGCAGCATGGGTATGATCATCAGTCAGATCAGCACGGCGACGACCAGATTGACTGCGCGACTCGGCCGCGGCGGGATCGCACCGAACAGGCCAGGAAGCAGATGCCCCAGACCGATCCCGGCGAGGATGCAGAGCAGCACCCAGCGTCAGATATCGCTCGAACGTACCGATACCGGAACGCGCAGGCTCAGGGCCAGGATAGGGAATTGGTGGGGGACGTCGGGTCAGGCAACCGCTGGCCGGATGCGTCTACCACTTGCTCGCCATCTTCCTGGCGAAGGCGCCGCACTGTGCGGTCGGCAGCAGATCGAGAACCGCCCGGACGGCTGACAGAGCTTCACGCCGAGCGGCGATACCAAAAGCGGGCGGTTGATGAGGACCGGATGCGCCATCATCGCATCGATCAGCGCCTCATCGGACAGGGACGGATCGCTTGAACCAAGTTCGGCATAGGGTGCCCTTTTTCGCGCGCAGCAATGCACGGCGTCATCCCGGCGCGATGCGATGAGGTCGATCAGCAGCGCGCGTGACGGCGGCGTCTTCGATACTCGATCACATGCGGTTCGATGCCTGCATTGCGGATGAGGCCGGTGACATTGCGGGACGCCGCATTCGGGGGTTGTGATAGACGATGATATCGATGGCCATAGCGCGGGCTTTCAGCAGCAGGGGGGTGAGTTCGGCGACGAGCGACGCGCACAGCTCGACTTTCCCGTCGCAACAATCCTTGACGATACAACATCAGTGCCCGCAGCCCATCCAGATCGGCGCGATAGATGATCGATCGGCTGCGTCGTTCTGACTGCACCCGAGCCGCCCCGGGCGAGATACCAAGATGCGCCGACATGGTGTTCTGCGGCACATCGAGTTGCCGGGCGATATCACCTGCCGCCAGCCCGTCCGGTTCATAGCGGCGAACCAGAAGGCGAAACACAGAGAGGCGTGTCCTGCGCGGGAGCCCCAATGCAGTGATAGTTGAGTCGATATCCATATATCCGGTATAATGGATATATGGATATCGGCCAAGCCCATCGATGGCCTCGCCGCTATTGGAAAGGTTATCGGCGGTCTGGGGTGCCCAGCTTGATCAGTTCCGCGACATGTGGGTTGGGGAATTGCGGTCCACGGTCACGGCGTAGAAGGTCTCGACGATGCCGGGCAGGGTATCCGCTTCGACAAGGATGCCGCTTGCTGGGGTTCATCGCGGACCGCGATCGGCGGCAGGACCGCCAGTGCGAAACCTTCGCGAACCAGCAGGCGCATCATCGCGACATCGTCCACCTCGGCGGCGATCTGCAAGCGGATGCCGAGGCGATCGACCAGCGCCGTCACGCTGGTCGCACGCCGCCTCTCGGTTGGCAGGATCACGGGGTGGCGGGCCAGTATGTCTGCTCCAGCGGTCCCGCCATCGCTGACCAGATGTGGATGGCCGATCAGGCTCACCGGTTGCTCGTGCA